CGGTGACAGGAAGGTTTTCCTGTGGAATAGGAAGTGGGACGCGCCTGCAGCTGATCAAACTCCATTTGATTATTAAGACTTTCATCTATTCTCATCCCCTAATGAAACATCACACTGCCTGTTGATGTCATAGAACAGACACACACACAATCATTCAACACACACACAAGCTGTCAGCCTCCCACTCTTTCACGCACTCCCACTTCTAACATCATCATTCACACTTACAGCACACATGCAGTCCGACCACAACAACATTCACACTTTCTTCTACCAAAAAAATGCATAATACATGCATGCCAGCTGCAGGCGCTGTCACAAAGGCATAAACAAAGAGCAAACAGCATTAAACCTTCAGCTCAACACTTTCATCAGCACAAGACAGAGTCACTCTGAAGTCCTGAGACTCTTTCTGAAACTCTGAGGGCTGAGTTCACTAAACCCTCACGCTACTTTTGTCGGCATTATTTCAGTGCAAAATGCCTAATTTATTTCACAAACGCGAAACAGTTTAACCAGGCAGAATGCAGCTGCTGTGCCGTGTTATTCAAATTAAATCATTGTCGTTCTTTTCAGTGCTAAACACACCTCCTTTCTATGTAAATCAAGCTTATTATAGATTGTGCCTAATTCCTAAATCTCTTTGCTTGGCGCAATTAACATTGTGCTATTATCACCTGCGGAAAGCAGGCAGTAAATGGAAGTTCATTTTATAGAGGTGTTTTTGTTTCAGAGTTGTGTGTCTTTCAGAATTGAATGGAGAATACATTTAAATTTAAATTCTGAATGTAAGGAAGAAAATTGTAAATAAATTTGTGTTCATAATTTCAACTAAAAAGCAAAGTTTGACAAGACCAACTTTATATAATTCCTTGATAAAGACTTGTTTGAAATTTAAAAACAAAAAGCCTCAATGGTTTAAAAACTTGGATGGATGGATGGGTGGATGGATGGGTGGTTTGATTGATGGATTGATTGATGCATTGATGCATTGATGGATGGATGGATGGATGGATTGATTGATGCATTGATGGATGGTTTGATTGATGGATTGATTGATGCATTGATGGATGGATGGATGGATGGATAGATGGATGAATTGATGGATGAATTGATGGATGGATTGATGGATTAATGCATGGATGGATGGATGGATGATAAATGGATTGATGCATTGATGGATGGATGGATGAACTGATGGATGGATTGATGCGTTGATGGATGGATGGATTGATGGATTAATGCATTGACGGATGGATGGATGGATGGATGGATGGATGATGAATGGATTGATGCATTGATGGATGGATGGATGGATGGATGGATGGATGGATGGCTGGATGATGAATGGATTGATGGATGGATGGATGGATGGATTGATGGATTAATGCATTGATGGATGGATGGATGATGAATGGATTGATTGATGGATGGATGGATGGATAGATGGATTGATGGATTAATGCATTGATGGATGGATGGATGGATGGATGGATGATGAATGAATTGATGCATTGATGGATGGATGGATGGATGGATGAATTGATGGATGGATTGATGGATGGATGGATGGTTGATGCATGGATGGATGGATGGATGGATTGATGGATTGATGGATTAATGCATTGATGGATAAATGGATGGATGGATGATGAATGGATTGATGGATGGATGGATGATGGATGATGGATGTTTTTCGGATGGATGTTTTTTTTTATTTTTTGAGTGAAAATTGTTTCAAATTAAATCCTACCCCATTTTTTCAATGAAGTAACATGCCTTTAAAAGTAAATTGATTTCATAAAATGATTTTAAATCTAGAAGGCGACATCTTAAGACTAAAATCTAAACTTAGTTGTGTTGTTGTTTTGTCTGCTACTTGTGACCAACTACCTTTACTTGAGTAGGATAAATATACTGTAAACTACTTCTGCTTTCTGACACTCACTGCTGCTTTACCTGATATTTCCACTTCATGGTTGCCTGTCGTTTTGGAAAATAATCCAATGGAAAATATATAGAGTAAACAGCTCTCAGTGCCATTGAGATGTACGTGTCTGCGGTGGTTCACGCCAGACTGAATGCGTCAAGCATAAACAAGACTCAAGGGCCAGTACAGAGACCTTGAGAGGGTTGGTGGCTCCTCTACCCACCTACTGCCCTGCATCTGTGGCTATAAAAGAACCCAGCCTGTTACTCTAGGGGATGAAAGCATGCCGCCTGTTTTGACTAGTGCCATCTGATCTTAAACCGAAATAAATAGATCATATGCTGAAGGGAGATTTCTTTTATTCTGATCATTCTGTTTATGCGGTGTACATTTCAAGAGAGTTTGGGTTTGACGTAGGTGCTTTTTTTAAGGATTTGTTGAGCAGCTGGTGTTGAGTGGTCCCTTTCTGCAATCGTTGACATGGTGTAGAGATAGTGGCAGGATGTTGGGGAAATTACCGGCCTCTGACATGCGAAGGGCTTTTGTTTAAGTTTCATTACAGGAGGGATGATTGGTGAACGAGAGATGGAAGGAAGGAGGAAAGCTCTTGAGTGAGACACTGGAAAGATGTGTTTATTTTGAGGGGTGGAGTTGTTTCCTCTCGTGCATCCGTATGGTCACAGTCCACCAACATGCTGTTGCCTTGACATCTGCTGTCTCTTAGGGGTCAGTAGGTCATAGTTCAAAGGGTCTTATTTTAGTTTAGATGATGAACATGGGGATTGGCTGTTGGTTCCAGAGAAGAGCTTATTATTGACAGGAAGACAAGAGCAGATTGGAAGGAGATGGGAAACGCTTTAGACCCACAAAGCTGGTCATCACTCAACCTTTGACCTTTTTCCGGACGTGCATGAAAAAACGGCAGACGTTTGTTTTCTTTAGGGAGGAGTTCGCTTCAAAACACGCTCTTTGAATATACGTCCATCTTCACACAGATGACATCCTTCGACAGAAGGACAATGTTTATTGCATGACATGTTTTACAATATTGAATTAATACTTTATTCTTTTGGAATTTGCGTAACTGTAAACTGTAATTGTTTTGAAATTCCTTGTTCTTGACATATATCCCAGAGATTTAGCATAAGCTTTATTTAATTTTAAAGGTCTAATTTAATCTTTTTATGATCTCTTTTAGATAATGCAGTTATATTTTTCAAAGATATAAAGTGTAGAATTTATAGTTTAAATAATTTATAAATGTATAATGTACTAAATGATATATAGAGAGATATTAATATTTATGTATATAAAATAATATAGAGCTACACTGTAAAAATGAATATGCTTTATCTAATCAATAGAATTGTGGCAACAGATTACAAGCAATATTATTAATTAAATTGATCAAATTAGAATTGAGTAATAATTAATCAAATTAATTCATTAACAGTTAACCATTTAAAATAAGTAAAGTTTGCATCAAAAAAATCATCATATCAAAAATATCTCACTAACAGACTAACTCTTTATTTTATATTGCCAACATTGAATGATGTTTACAAGCAGAATCACTGAAGGAGAAAACCGTAATTTTAAAACAAACCTAAATCAAACACCGATCACCATAATGTTTTTTTGGTTGTTGTTTTAAGTTTTACTAATTTTAAATGGTTAACTGTTAATGAATTAATTTGATTAATTATTATTGATATAATAATTAATATAATAATATAATATTGATATATATATATATATGATATATTATTAATAATATTGCTTGTAATCTGTTGCCACAATTTTTTTTGATTAGATAAAGCATACTCATTTTTACAGTTTATATATATATATATATATATATTTTTTTTTAAATGAGTAGTCATTTTTAAAAACATACAGATTTTATAAGTCTTATATATTTTTTTTTATTATTATTTATTATATATGCAGGGAAAAGCAACATAGCATATTTAATTTGGAACTGCTGTGCAAGAAAAAGTGCAGAGAGAACACAATCACCTGTTTTTAAAAGTCAAGTAGAACTAGACACCACCTGTCACAACAGTCTGACGCATTCCAGATATATAACACAGATATAAGCAATTGCGCATCGATCCAATAAAAAAATGGCGTGCAAGTGGAGATGTGAGTCATCGAATTGCTATATTGCAACCCCTCTTTAACGGACAACTCATTTGGAGTGAATCGCCAGCATCTCTGACTTCTCTTATCTGGCTCTCTCTCTCTTTCATGCTAATGAAAAAAGAAAAACAGAAATCAATGGCCGTGAGATTGCTACCGCATAGGTCCACATCTCAATCCAATGATGGCAAGAGGCCACCCATCCACACTGTCTTATCGTTGCGCGATTTAAATTCACACAACCCTTTCAGACTGAATGATAAAACACGGTGCAGGCAGAGAGAGAGAGAGAGAGAGAGAGAGGGGGGGCTTTACGTTGTTATCTTCACCGCTAAACAGTATTTGACATTTGACGCACATTTAAAAGTCAATGGGTTTGCTCTCAAATCAGCAAATATTATCAAGGCCCTAATTTCCCTTTTTAATGGAGAGAAACAGGTGTGAGTTGATGATTAGAGCAAACGTGTGAAAACGGCTATTGCTGAACAGACTGGACCGCTCAGGCCTTTTTTTTTTTTTTTTTTTTTGAAACCTTGCTTCGGGCATCATCATAATGCATTCAGGAGAACGCTGACTCAAATTATAATTAAAAGCGCACGTCTCGTTTGTCCGTGGCTGTCAAAAACAGGCCTTCTTAAATGTGCGACACGTTCTTCGGGACACGATTGTGAGTTGTGTTGATGCAGCCTTGCTCTGACAAGCATCCTCGATTTGGCTGGTGGTCTGCCAAGATGCATTTATCGTTGTACCTTCTGAAAGAGTGTAAAATCTGTCATTAAAATTGTCCTGACTGTGTTTTCGCACTCCATAAACAGTTCCAGCTCTATTGGGATAGCGACAAGAAGGCTCTAGGGATGTTGGCGTTCGTCTCGTAATCACTTTTGTTAATGTTTTTTTTTTGGTTTGTTTTCTTTATCTCCCCTGACAGGAGCCATTGTGCGCATCTGGAGCCTCCACACCTCGTGGTCCAATCAGAACCCTCGCTTCGGAATCTGAACCTGCACTCCGTGGAGCGGAATAAAAGGAGTGGGAGCGGAGAAATGGGGTGTGCGAAAGTTCTTTTCGTTATGTTCGTGATCGGGTTTGAAAAGGGGATTTGCGTCAACTGGAACCCCGTCCCACGCAAGACAGTTAAATATAATGGTGAGTATCTAATGACCAAACAAAACTGGTGACTGCCCAGTAAATGAGTGGTTTTTTTTCTCACAGTGTTTTTATGGCACTTTCTTTATTTGTCCGTCTCTTTCTTCTTTTCTTCAGTCGACCCCTCCCTTCATTCTCTATGCAGATTTGAGATAAGCGGAGTGATCTCTGCTTTGAAATTACCCAGATATCACATTACTGCCTGGTTTTATTATAGGCTTTTTATTGTAAAGGGCTTACATCCCTATTCATTTGCACTAGCTTCATTTGTGCCTGTTTTCCTTTTCTCACCCTATTTTCTATTTTGCGGCTCTCTACTTCTCTTTTTCTCTTATGCTTTCTCTGGAGGGAATTCAATGAGAATGAATTGTGCCTGGTGAGAGCGCTTATTAGAAAAAAAAAACGTTTTTTTCTTTAGCAGTATTTTTGTCTATTCCTGGAAAAACTTGTAAGCATTCTTAAAAATGCATTTACTTCTAAAGCAAAATTGCATATTTTGTTTTCAAGATTTGTTCTCAGATAATATTATTTGAATTATGGGTATTTTTCTTATCTCTTTGGCAAAATATAAAAAAAATAAGCATACATCTGACAACATTTAATGAAGTCTATGCTTAAAGTTGGAGAAAATCTATTTGCCAGTGTGGTGATAAAAATAATTTTGGCTGTCAGACTGAAAATGCTCTGGAAGCTTATTTTCACAATTTTCTCAAGTATATCTGTCCTGTTTTAGTCATTTGTAGATGTTTTTACAGCAATATGGTATAAAAACCATGGTATAAAAATTTCAATTTGTATGCTTTTTGCATGCCAGTCCTGATTAAAAGGTGGTGGAGGACGCAACAGACTCGCGTGATGTGGCATACTATGCTGAGACTGTAAAACTTCCCTTCATTACTGTAGTCCAGGCACCTGAATCGGCTGTTTAAAATGCAGAAGGTGCACTAGTCTACACCGCGTGTCTGGATGGATGCCCTGTCATAATGCTCGCCTCTTCTCCATCATTTGATTAATTACTTCTATAAATATCAATATAAAATGTACTCAAAAATAAAACATGACAATTTAACATTGTATCACAGTCAGTTGTGCCAGGTAGCTCTTTATTTTCGTCGGACAATTTTCAAACAAATATTTTGAAGGAAGTGTCTAATGCTTATCAATGCTATATTTATTTGAGTAAAGAAATACAGAAAAAAAGGAAGATTTTTTTTAACTCTTTCCCCGCCATTGACGGAATTTTCCGTCTTACCGTGTTTTCGCTGTTACACGGTAGGGGGCGCTATTAGGCATTTTCTGTAAAGGCCATTGCACACTGAGTACGAAATTTTCATATGCGTATTTTCGTGTTCGTCAGCCTAAAAATTCGTCACGCATAGAAACCTTGCACACCGAGTCCGTTGCGTATTTATTAAACCTTTGCGGGGAAAAACGCAAAAATACCAAATGGATTCGTCAAGCAGTGAGGATGATTTGCCCTCTCTCTTTTTGAAAAGAGAAGAAAGAGAAAATATTACGTCCATCCAATCCTGAAATTGCGCCGAGAGGAAGGAGTTCCAACTTATCAAGGAGTTGCGAATTTATCCTGAGCGATTCAAAATTTACCTCAGAATGTCAGTGGGACAGTTTGATGCTTTGCTAGCGATTCTGGAGCCACATATTAAAAACAAGACCACCAATTTCCGTGAACCAATCGATTCTGAACGGAGACTGGCAGTGTGTCTGGTATGGACCAGGTATGGACACACACGCAAACACACACACACCCGCGCGCGGCCCGGTGGAAGCGCTGGGCAGACAGAACAGCTAGGCTGTTATTGTGTATATATTGTGTATATATTGTGCCCAAATAATACATTAGTTATTGAATAGGCTGCTCAATCACACCTTATTCGATCCTAAATTTCAATCTGATTGAAAGGGGAGGTTTATTAATTTCATAATCCAATATAGAGAAGAGAACATAAACACTTGATCGAATTGAAAACCGAAACTGAAAGCACGGCGCATATGTGCAATGATTTGAGGACGAGCTCCCCCCGGCCCTGAATTGTCAAAAGACCTCTCAAAATGCTGGCTCTGGATGCGAAAAACGCAGAAAATCGAACCCGATCCGATTAATTTTATGACGGACGAAAGTTTCGGAGATGGTGTGCAAGCGTGATTGACATAACGTGAGGTCGAATTTTTTTTTTACGTGCAAAAATTTCGGATGCGAATTTCGGACTCAGTGTGCAATGGCCTTAAGAGTACAGAATATCCTGATCAAAACACCGGCAAAAAAAGCAGAAACAAGCAATAGCATATGTAAAATAAGGCAATCGTCAATGTTAAACAGCATATAAATTGAAACTGCCTATTGTTACCGAATGAAATGCAGAGCCAGGACGAGGTGTATATAGGACTGTGAAGCGTTGATGGACTCGATCAGTTTTTGTCAAAAATGCGATTTTCTCCTCTTTTTGCTCAAAATGTTGCCTTTTTTATGAAACCCAAATTCAAGTGTTGATAAAAAAGAAGGCATGAAGCTAAAATAAAAAGTTTTTTTGTAAGCTTTTGTTTAAAAGCAGAGGGTCCTTCTTTTGATACAGTATATTGCATGTTCAGATATTCATACAACAAAATATTCTGGTGGCCATGAAAGTTTTGTAAAAAATGTATCAAAAATGCTGTTGCTGGCTGGCAAAAATGCTGTCAGGGAACAACAGGGGAATGTTTTTTATTTAAATGTATTCAAAATGCTATTTATTCCAGGGATGACAAGGATTAATCAGGATTATTTAAAGAATAAAAAGTTGAAAAGAACAGCATTTAATTGAAATTCAAATCTTTTGTAACATTACAAATGTTTTACTGTCACTTTTGAGCAAAAAAAATGGCGTAGTATAGAAGGAGTATAGAAGGAGGCGTGTGTGACATGAATGATTTGGCTTAAATCAAATATTCTTGGCACCGCAATCTTAGCTAAGCGACTTTCAACTAGATTGCTGAAATGCTGTGTGCAAAAGTGGCACAGCGTTTAGTTAATTTGCCCCTCAATCTTTTCTTGTTTTAATCTAAAACAGCTACAATAAACATTAAGCAGTACTCATGGTTTTATGTACACCCATAAATTGATAGCATCTCCTTTTAAGCCCTCGGTAGAGATCGTGGCGGCCGGGAACACAGCCTTAAATGGACAGGAAATGGATTTAGTTGAGCTACAGAAAGTGAGTGGGACGTCAACGAAAGTCCAGAAAGAGCAGAAAAGTACACAGTGTGTCTACAGTGTGTGTTTAACTACTGTTTCAGGTCATGTGTGACTTCATTTGGGCCCTAAACCACATAAACAGTAGGCCTGCGCAGCACACATGCGCTTTTCGGGGAGGATAAAAGCCAGGCAAAGCATCGGAGTGCACTTTAATGTTTGTGTGTGTGAGCGCGCAGAGTGCTTAGACTGGCAGTCTGAGGGATTTAGAGCTGCAGTAGCGTGTGTGTGTGTGGTTGGAGGTGGAGAGCTGGATCGCTGCAGAGATAATATTTACCCAGTACTTTCCACACACCCTAAAGACCCCTCCTCCACAATTATCCCCATCTTAAAAACACAGAGGATTCGCAAGCATTGCAAACACTTGTCTGCAACTAAACGTCTTTTCATTCCCATTTTCCCCCTTTGTTGATCATCAAAGCACTGTACATGTCTCTGTGTGAATGTGTGATGAGGTTTCATCAACCACACATAATGAAGCATCTGTTAGGCTCGTGGTGTTTCCAGGATCTGCCGTCTCACTTTATGAGGACGTGAACACATGAACTTTGTCTCCAGAGCTGCGTTCACACTATGCCCTAATTACCAAAGTCTCGTAGGACCCTATTTTAAAGGGATACTCCACTTTTTTTGTAAATAGGCTCATTTTACAACTCCCCAAGAGTTAAACTGTTGAGTTTTACCGTTTTCGAATCCATTCAGCCGATTTTCTGATATTTAGAAGAAAATCCTGTAACCAGACAGTTTCTGGTCTCATTGACTACCATAGTATATATTTTTTCCTACAATGGAAGTCAATGAGACTAGAAACTGTTACTGATATTCTTCTAAATATCAGAAAATCGGTTGAATGGATTCGAAAACGGTAAAACCCAATTGTTTAACTCTGAGGGAGTTGTAAAATGAGCCTATTTCCAAAAAAAAAGTGGAGTATGCCTTTAACAATCTAAGCACATAGTCTAAAACACAAGTGGACTTAGGGCTTGTTCGAATCCACTTATGCTAGTTTAACAGCGGGAGAAATGGTTGGTACGCCCAGGCATGGTCTAAAAGCGAATAGGGTCCCTATTCTCTTAAAGGGACAACTATTTCAACTATTTCAATAAAACAGTTTCGAACGGTTCAATGACCTGTTCTGGAAAGAATTGTGACTTTCCCCACTCCCCCCAGCATCCCCAGGCGGAAAACCAACTTTGCAACATGGGGAATGACATCCCGATAAGTTGGAAATTGAAGTCTCGTGAGAAGCGAGAACGAGCGAGAAACACACTGTGTTTCTTTATGGCAATTCGACATAATTTTATGATACTGTGTATGACGTATTACCCACTCGGTAGACATAGCTCCACGCGATAAAATTGTCCGGCTCCGATAATAACAAATGCACATGAGCAGCGGTAGAAAGTGGTAGTTAAAGTGGTCAAGCACACCATCTATGGGACAAACTGGATTCCATCATATCTTTATGTACACAATAACAATCTTTTACATTGTAATCCTTTTTTTTTTCATATTTGGCATGTTTGTGTGTATAAACAGAGTGTACGTGTGTTGTGGACCCGCCTATTATAGGCGCATATTACTAATGCAGCCTTTAAATAAATAAAAAATACTGCGCCATTGACTTGACTTTAGACCAGGTTTTTGTTGGTCAATGGCGCAGTCTATTTCATTTGCCTCAAAATAGCAACGCACCAACAGTGCGCCTGAACACCCTCCTTTTCAGACCAGCACGCCCATGGGCGAACAGATG